TCTAGGGTATTATATGAAAGATTTACTTAATTTAGGAAGTTTAAAAGTAGGATTAATCCTAAAAATTATTATTAAATGTTACATAATTCAATCTTTAAACATTTAGCCGAAAAATTTAAATTAAACAAGAAAATTAATGAAGATGTTGAAATGAATTCTCAAAAGCATCATTAGCATCTATTACAATCAATTCCAAATCTACAAGAAGTCCTAACTTCTATTTTACAGAAATGCACAAGATACTTTTATCGATTTTCCAGTATATAACTTCAGGTTAGAGTAATAGAAATTCATTATTAAAAATAAAAAAGAATATGCAAGCATATTTTTAAGAGAAGGAAGCTCTAGCTGACATCTTTGGTCATATAAAAGATGTAGACGAGCAAAAGTTTGGTGTCATATTAGAAAAATTAAGAAAGGAAAAAGTTTAAGATATCATTGGATATCTTTCAGAAAATGTGAATCAAAGGCAATTAGAATCATGTATCTTACAAAAAGGAGTTGTTATCACCCAGGCTGATATAGAATAGAAATTGTCTGTTGTGAGAAATGATATCATATCAATGACAGAAGCCTTAAGAAAATTAAAAGACCATGACTTCAATAAGAAGGACTATTCCTCTGAAGAAAATGAAGAATCTACATAAAGTTTAATTCATAGTATCAAGGATTTTAAATGGATCATTGAATTTCTATAATTTTTAGTTCATCTCACATCCATTGATGAAACTTTTATATAGGGTGGGTCTAATTCATTATATATATTAGTTTAAATGAAGGTTGATTTTAGAAATAAAAGTTTTGAAAATATAAAGATATAAAATACATCTCTAGTAGGAGCTAATTTTGTGAGGTGTAATTTAAGTGGTTCTTAATTTAACAATGTCAACATAAGTGGAATAAATTTGAATGGTGCTTAGATGTTCAATTGTTAATGGAAGAACATTAAAGTCCATGAATTGAATAAGTTGGATGGTCATAGTAGAATAGTTAAGTCAGTCTGTTTCTCTCCTGATGGAAATACATTAGCTTCTGGTAGTATAGATAAGTCTATCCGTCTATGGGATGTCAAAACAGGATAATAAAAAGCCAAATTAGATAGTCAAAGTGGACATGTTATGTCCGTCTGTTTCTCTCCTGATGGAAATGCTTTAGCTTCTGGTAGTGATGATAAGTCTATCTGTCTATGGGATGTTAAAACTAAGAAAAAAATAGCCAAATTAGATGGCCATACTAGTTATGTTTACTCAGTCTGTTTCTCTCCTGATGGAAAAACATTAGCTTCTGGTAGTGCTGATAACTCAATCCGTTTTTGGGATGTCTAGACAGGAAAATAAATAGCTAAATTAGATGGTCATACATATTTTGTCTACTCAGTCTGTTTCTCTCCTGATGGAAATACATTAGCTTCTGGTAGTGATGATAATTCTATCTGTCTATGGGATGTCAACACAGGATAATAAAAAGCCAAATTAGATGGTCAGAGTGGAAGTGTCTACTCAGTCTGTTTCTCTCCCGATGGAAATACATTAGCTTCTGGTAATAGAGATGGCTCTATCCGTCTATGGGATGTCAAAACAGGATAATAATAAGCCTAATTAAATGGTCATTCAAATTCTGTAATGTCAGTCTGTTTCTCTCCTGATGGAAATACATTAGCTTCTGGTGGTAATGATAACTATATCCTTCTATGGGATATGAAAACAGGATAATAAAAATTCAAAGTAGATTGTTATGAGCATTAAGTAGAATCTGTCTATTTCTCTCCTGATGGAAATACATTAGTTTCTGGTGGTGCTGATAAATCTATCCGTCTTTGGGATGTCAAAACAGGACAATAAAAAGCCTAATTGGATGGTCATA